CTTGGTGTTTATGTTTGATAGATCATTGAAATGAATTATCATGTTGCAAAATACTTCTTGTTAAATGTTTAAAAGGTAAAAAATAGTAGAAAATATTATTAGATGAAAATATTTGTGATTAAATATGAGAAGAAGATATTTGTAAATTATTAGTTATATATTTCTACTTCGATTTCTGTATTAAATGAATATATCTGTTGATGAAATTGAAATAAAATAAATATAAAAAGAAAATGATAAAAGAAAGAATAAAGAAAATAATAAGAAAATAAATATAATGATTAATGATAAAATTAATGAGTTATTATCATGAATGAAAGTTGAAGATGAACATTAAATTCATTATTATTAATTATAAATGTTTAATTTATAATACATATTAAATAGTCATTCTTCATTCTGTATTATTGTGTTGATGTTTAAATTATTCAATTTGTTATTATCATATCATCATTTCATTGATATTTGTTATTTATTATCTTTTTATTTATTTCATCATTTAACTCTTGTTTGATATGATAATATAAATAATTTACATTGTATATTATCATCATTCATCATTGATAATCATCTATGATATAATTTAATTTTCATATCAATAAATATATCATTTAAATAAATAAATAATAACATTTGTTAACATATCATTATGACATCTCATCAATGTGATAAATGAAATTTAACATAGTTACACATTAATAACAATACGATTGATATTCATATTTATATAATCATTGTTATTCATAACTAACATTATAAATTTGAATTAACATAATGTTCTTCTTTATTACATTTCATAATGATATTTTCACAATAAAATAGAATTGAAGGTAAATGAAATGAAATAAAGAATAATATAAAAAGAACAGAATTATGAATGAATATACTCAACATGTGAAGATACAACATACTCAAAACAACAAGAAGTTACAAAATGTCAACTGATTGATATAGAATTTGTATTTTACCTACTTTTTATTTTATTTTATATTTTTATAATTTTAAGAGAAAATAATAGAAAACAGAATATTCCATTATGCAAAAAATATATTACACCATCTTCATTTGATCATTTTATTTAGATACATAATTTCTTCGCTTATTTTGGTTCCTGTATTATTTTATCAAATAATAAGAAAGAATGAAATTTAATCAAATATGATTTAATTAATAATTTGTATTTTATCATGTTCACAATTAAATAAATTAATTTATTCACTATTCTTTATTTCTAATGAACTAAAGTATTTTCAATTATTTTCAATTGAAATGTTTTATTTAATTTGTTATTTGTATTTTAATTTAAAATTAATGATTATTGGAATTGGTTATTGTTTACATTGTAATTATAAGAAGAATACATCAATATCATTATAATTGTGTTTCATCTTTATTAATATCAACAATCATCAGTGGAATCAATTTAATTATTAATAATATCTCATATTCAACTTTAAACTATCATTAATAAATAATATTTCATCATAATAAACAATAACTATTTGAATCAAATAACATTCTTCAATATTCAATCATATCATTTCTTATTAAATAATAACCAACACAAATCATTATAATATTGAATGTTGAATATATTACTAAATATATCATTTGTATTAGATGAATGATGAATTAAATTTTGATTTCATTTTAATGATAGTGTGTGGTGTTTCTGACATAAATCCTTCGAATAAAATATGAAAAATAAAATCAAAAGATAATCTTAAAAATATTTTAAGTTTAAATTAAATGAAGGAATGAGAATAGGATATAATGAAATAATGATTACTTCCAAGTATTTTAATGATATTAAAGATTTTATTAATTTAGAAATAGGAATTAAAAGATTTCAAGGAAATATGGAACGATTTCATTTTAATCCAATTCCTTTAAATGAACATTCAAGAAAATTATTTGCTAATATTGAAACATTTCATATTTATAATAAATATGATAAAATATTTAATGATGGAAAAATATTTAAAAAAATAATATGGTATTTAGTAAATTATTCAACATATTTAAAAGAGAAAGAAGAATGAAATGTATGTAAAAATATAGAATATACACAATATGATAGAAATACATCTGTAAGTACATACCAATAGAAGTAAATCACTCAGAGATATAGTTTAATATTAGAGTCATTGACACAGTTACATACCACACAATAAG